GTAAAGATTTCTGGCATTAATCCACCCAGAAATCCTTGATACGCTCTCTGAGATCAAGAGAGATCTTTTCGAAATATAATAAAATTGATTTGCATAAGATTAACGGGAGACAACCGCTGTATTCTCGCATTTCCGTTCGAGATTTAGCATTTCAACAATTACACATTTAAATTTCAGTGTATAACGGGTGTGTGTATGTACGCGCGCGAAGAATGTAGTTTCAAGTTCTCAGATTTTCATATGAAGTGGATAATCAAGAATGTGTCTTTCCTACATAGCGACTGCACGGCAAAGATGTTGCACGGCGAGATTTCTACTCTCCTCGTAAAGATATAACTGCTTTCTCGACTGGTTAGACATCGGAATTGCGAGGCTAATATTTTCATATCATGCTCGCAACAGATGCAGACGGCAAATTGCAATTCTGCTAAAAGCAAAAAGGATCAATTCTTTTTCTTGTTAAGTCTATCTCCGAGCGCTCTCGAGATCCTTATAAATTTAATTATATTGAACCAATATGTTGAATAAATATTATCGCCATATGATTATACTCTCGTAATATAGATACGCAACCGCAACTGCTATCAAGACTATTACCGGAATATTACGCGCGCGAACGTGATCTCCGGATGACTTAACGGAAAGTAAATTATCGTTGGCGTATATTTTACTGGCGTATTTAGAGTGGGTCGACCGCGCGTCGAGCACTCTAGATTTACGTTCGCGTCCGGTACTTGAGTTCTCGCTGCGAACTTTGTGCATCGCTATGTATAGAAAGAGAGAGTATACGTCAGTAAATATTATAATTATATGATATATTCCGCCTGCAGTGGAATATATTATTATTTATTCTAGAGAGGCTATATATGTAAAATGCCGGCTATTAAATATATCACCTCGATAAAGTTATGCGACGCACAATCTTTCATGCTGGAACGTGGAATCGAAGAATAGCGGAGTCACTTATTTCTCATCGTTTTTTTCTTTGACATTTTTATGTTTAAATATATTAGAAACCCGTGTGTTCCCGGTAATTCAAATGTACAGAACGATATAATAGATTCGTGGGTGTGACCGGTTTCTCTCTCTCTCTCTCTCTCTCTCATCTCCTACAGTCGCTATTCCAACGGAGACCAACAATAGCGTTGCCCGTCTCGGCTCTGTTGTTGGGGGAACCGCGAATATCCATCGCGAATATAAGAGACGATATAAATTACCGTACTGCACATCCTCGCCAATGACCCGCTGCCGGAAGGATTTATGATGCGTGGATTTTTTCTCGCGACGCGAAAATTCGTCGTGCCACGACCGATCGCAAATCACAGGCGCGAAGTGAATTATCATTCTCGATTCCACTGTGGCTTTATAACGACGATGATATGTTCGCGTTTAAACGCGGTGTACTTTATTACCGCGACTGTCGCGCGGACGCTCTTATCCTCGTGAGCGCTTAAAAAGTAGCGTCTTATAAATGGCCCGCTGAAAATTATTGATTCCCGGGGGAGAACATCGATCGTTACAAAGTATGTATTACGCACCCGACGATAAATCGAATAAGATAAATGAAAGAGAGAGAGAGAGACGTTCACCTCGATGCTTGGTTGTGTAACGCGCGAGAGCAATGGAACCGCATGGAATGGCGTGGAATTTATGATATCCGTTCCGGTAATGCTGATCATTCACCGAAACAATCATATTCCACCTCGCTGTCTGAAAAATTGCTCGCATTATACATCACGCGCGGTTCTTATTTCCGTTCGACGCGATGTTTAATTAACTTTATTGTTCGCGGGGGTTGTTATACGACTCCTCTCATCGTGGAGACTCGCGTCAGAAATCGAGTTATAAAAATGTCACTTGTTAAACGCGAAATGGCATTTTATCGGCTTATTATAGTCTTTCTTGCCCGTAAGATTCTCACGATATCGCTCGCGATACCGCTTTACAAAGTGTTTTCGATCGTGTCTTTAAGAAGTAAACGACTTCCTTCCGTCGTCTGATTAACATAATTCTCTGCAACGCGTTGCTCGCATTAATACAAGCGCATGCAGCGAGGCGATTGCAGGTGCATCCGCGTGAAAGAAAAACGTGACGTAAAAGAGAGCCGATCAATATACATCTTCGATTTATTTTTTATTCTGCCATAATCGATTAACACCATCGTTTATTAATCAGCACGGATAAGCAGTTTGTCAGATTGTAGATTTTATCCAGCATTATTTAATTGAATTTAATAATTAGATATTATATTTCTTATTGTACTTTCTTCTCCCATCGAATTATTTTTTTAATTTTGTTTTTGTTATCAGGATTGCGGTGTAACCGCCACTTAAATAATTTCTTATTAATGATGGCCATTTCCGTTTATCTGCTCTTAATATACTTCGATAATAGCTTAATTACTATCTGACGCTTTTCTCGAAGGAAGACAAAGTATTCATGAATAATATAAATAATATATATTTCCATGAATAATAATTTATGGGAACAAGTTGCAGCATCGCAAAATTTGTCATGTACTCTCGACGTATTGTCATGTCTCTGACGTATGTATTCGTTCCCAGTCAATTTTCTTAAACGATCATATCTGTCGGTTATTTCGCGATAACAAAAATAAAAGTTAAGTGTATTAAAGCATTCCTCAACGTAATTCCGAAGCAATCGGATATTCGTGCACGTCCGGATTCGTGGAATTCGCGTGTTATGTTACCTCGCAGCTCTCCTCCGGCTAGTCGGAAACATAACTCCACTCGTTAAGGCGATTTTCTAGCGCGCTGTGGTTAAAACACACACAAAGCGGCCGCGTTGCGTTCTTTTACGAAGGCGTATATAGGGGGCCGTCTAAAGAACGCGCTGCGCAAGCGACTAATACGGTGGAAATTACTGTCCGCCTTTCATAAATCGATGTAACCTGCGATTTGCATCGGCGAGGCTCACCGTGAAGCCTCATTATGTCTCGTGACATTAATATACGATAGTTGTTAAAGTCTCCGCTTCTGCAAGTCGTGTATCGCTCTGATTTGCCGAGAGAGGCCTGAGCCTTCAAGGATCCTTATCACTCTCTGGGCTCGGGTTTCTTAAGGATCTCGTAAATCACACTTACTTTAGCGTTTAATATTACGTGTTTCAGTCGATAAAAAAATACAATAACATAGCGAAAATAATTTTAAAGAAATGGATCTTTTTATTCAATTTAATAATACAAGTTTGTTTTTTGTTGGATATTTTACACAATAGAGATAGAAATCTATCGAATTAACATTACAAATGCACACGAACTGCGAAACATGATTTATAAACACATAATTAACCAACTCCTGGACGATTATTAGTTATGGTGATTATCTTTTATCTCTTTTGTCATCGTTATACACTTCGCGCTACGTACAGAAAAAAAAGAAGCCATTAGATAAAAATATAACATTTTAAGTGTCGGTTTTAAAATCCAAGTTTAAAATAAAGATAGCTATTTTTCTTATATTAATCTTATTCTTTGTTAAAAATAATAAGATATTAACATATATTTTTAATATTTACGCTCCAAACATCGGCTGCTGAATATTCAAAATTGATCAAAATCGTATAGTTAATATAACTAGTTAACATAATTATTATTTTCTTAGACATTTTAGGTTTCTTCTGCATTAAAAGAATAAGATCTATATCAACATATGTATATTTAATATTTATGCCAGCGATGTTATCGTTTCGCTGACGCGTGTCGCGCAAAATGACTTATTTATATATCCTGTATAATATATAATAATGCAAAGAGGTGTTATTCGAAATACAGTCATCAACGGAAATTGGATGTAATTGCACATCTCGCGGCGGTTAATTCGCGCAGCCGCTTATAAAATCCGATCTTATCTCGTTCATACGTCGCACGTGATACGCGTCGCTTGTGGTTCCCTGATGAAGTTAACTTTTGTGTAATAAAAGTAAATTATATATATATATATATGATTCTTGCCTAGTACAAGCGCTGTGATCGAGGATTTGCTTCGGCAGGTCGCGTTTGTTGCAAGACCAGTTACCCGGAATGCAAATCCCGAACTTACGTCTCCGCAACCATCCGGAAACCTCGGCTAAAACCTGCCAGAGCCTCTAGACGCATCCTTAATATCGATAAACATTAGGGTGATGATCCACGATGAAAGAGGTATGTGCAAGTTGGATAAACATGAAATGAGATGGAAGGATGCGCCGGCGTTTTTTATTGTGATATAAGTAATTTTTAAACGAGTGAAACATATTTGCCGAATGCTGTGGTTAGCTGTGAAGCGTAACGATAGTTGCATTCTTTGACTTTTCTTTTTCCATAAATGAGAAAACAATGGGATGTGAATGCCGTCGACGATTCTCTTTTTCAATAATTTGATAGGCAGACCAATAGAATGAAATACAGAAAGAGAGAGAGAGAAAGATATTGTTTAACTTCAATATTAGATGTATGATGCGGGAAGACGAAAGCCAGTCCCTCAGCCAACGTTCAGCTTTCTCTTTCCGCACTCCGATAATTATCTTTGCACTATACGAAACGAAAAAACATAATTGTAAGTTTTACAAAACCGGTGTAGGAGAATGTGCGATTTATGTATTATAAATACATGTATAATCGCATAAAGAAAATAATATATATATATATATATATATATATATATATAATTTTTTTCTATGCTACTCTCTGTATACTTCTCGAGCGGATATGAGTTGAATTTTGTGTATTGGTGATTCTTTCTGTTCGTATGGAAGATTTTGATCGATCGCGACACATATGCAAATCATATCTTACGAAGATATCGATATCGAACATCAGCATCGTGGAAGGAGAAAGGAATGTTTTTTGTTTCTCTGGATTCCTTCTCTCTTCATAGCGAGCGATCTCGGCGGAATAGCCGCCTCCCTCGGGCTCTATTACTTATGCAGTCTACGTTGCCCGGCATTGCAACGCCGCTTGCTTACCCCTTCGTATATAACGTGCACTTTATTCTTTCCAGATGCGCCGATAGCTACTGGCGATCCGCTCGTTTAACAGCGTAACGGCGAACAGCGACGGGAGTCGGAGGCAGAGCGCGAGCTAAGAAAAAAGAGAGGAGAGCAGGGGTGGAAGCAAAAGGAAGAGGATGAAGGAGGAGGGGAGGATCGAGAAGGGGATGCGTAGGAATGTAACGCGACGAAAATACGTCTGGCTTCTAGGGAGGGTGCTCTGCAACAGAGAGAAGAGAGAGGTGAGCAATATATTTTCTGTCTAAATATTATTCTGCCAATAATCGCCCGTCCGCGACCGCTAATCTCAAACACCGAGTTAATTCATTATCGATCGAATCCATCTCGTGTTCCGCGTATAATTATTTATTTACCGGTATTTAAATGGAACTCGTAGAATCACCGTCCGCGGAAACATGCGAGGCATGACGGATATGAGATACGGCACGCGTCGCTCCTCAAAAAGCGCCACGCAAAGAAAAAAGAAAGAGAGACAGAGAGAGACGAGGGCGGCGGGAACAGAATACAAAAACGTTAACGAAGTACGTCACGACGACGATAAATGCGCTTCGCGATAAATACAGAAGTGAATAAAAAATAATATTCGAATTAGAAAATTTTAATATTTACATAAGCTTCTCACTATTTCTCTCTATTATTATATAGATTCGATTATATATTATAAGATATAAATAAGATAGAAAGAGAGACTATATATAAATAATTAATAAAATAAAATTATTTATTTATATATTATTTAAAATTCTATTTAAAATAAAT